GGTCAGAGGAATAGGTTGTGAAACCTTAAACGAAATCCAGGTGCGCAGAGAGAATTAAAAAGTATAAGAAATCATATGAAGAAGAAATCGTCTGGTGTTGCAGAAAACAACCAGATACCCGGAAGTGGCTTTAAAGAGTATCCGATAGGAGTAAAATCCTTAGAAACCACGTCAGGGCAAATAACAAGAGATCAATGATCTTTGTGATGCAAATTGCAAGAGCGAATGACTTAAATAACTGTATTCAAAAGCACCATTCAACATCACAGACACAAATTGTGACCGGTTAGTATTCTGACATTTTGTCTATCACAGGACCAATGGAGTTCGACAGAACTTTACAGCATCCACGTATTTGAATTGATGTAACTTTTTAACGATTGAATCATTAGTTAGAACACCTTGAACAAGGTAAGACCCGAGATATTGTTATGGAAAAGCGCATTCAAAGAAATCTGGATATTTCATGGCCTGAGCTAACGAAACTTTTGGATAGTAAAACATAAATATTCAAAATTAGGTTCAGTCAACCATGCACCGACGAGTTGAACTTAGGCGCGCCTGTCCCACGAAGCGTCTAAATTAGTCGAAACCGATGGCGAGTACTCAACTGATCTAGATAGTTTCTTTTCCCATATAAATCTAAACAAAGCGTTTATGGATGTTTTATCCCTACGGCTAAAGTTCTGCTGTTTAGGCGGAGAATTCAAGCAAGTAGACATTGAGACCGAATACTTCTGATTGCGTTAGAGATTTGAGACGAAACTGTGTAGGTACGTGCCGTTTCGTTTTCTTGCCACAGCGGAGGCGGTAAACATCTGTCTCCGTTCATCTGTTTACTCAACAACAAAAAACGATTTGAACAAACACGTAAGCTCCCGTCCCAGAACTGCCGACAAGTTATCCACCAAGAAGAAACGGTAGCTGATTCTTAATGAACTCCACATACAAAGTAGGAAATACACATGTTCCATAGTTTGGAACATTCTAATTTCGTTGCTATTTCCTTTACAAAACTCTATCTATAACTACTCGTATACATTGCGTTATATTGGCATGATAACGAAACACTGAAAATGAGGTTATATGCCACATTTTGTTCTCACCATCTGTTTTGTAAGATTGTTCAGAAATTTGATGTGTACGATTTGCAGCTTTCAGTAAGGAACAGATAATTTTTTTCCATTCCGTAACATGAATGCTAAAAATATGGAGTTACGTAGACTAATAAATTTTTGAGTCTTCTGGTTACCGAAATCCAGATAACGTATATCTGACAAATGGTAATGGATAATATGGTTATTCTATATAATAATGTTGTACATGTATCCTTTTCTATTCATCAAGTTAGTTCACTGAAAATTCATTCTAACCAAGGAACATTGGATCGTAAATCCTTGGTGTAAAAATTGACGCAGACTGACTCAGTGTTTAATGGGAATGAGCCTATCGACAATCCGAGGAATCACATCGAAAGACGAGACAGTTGATAGTTTAGAAGCGGCAATCTCTTTCATTAATTTCAAAAATATGGACACTAGTATTGATTACGTAACGGAATATTATCTCACGACTTTGTTTTTCTTCGAATTTCTTCGCAAAGTTTCATCATGACATTGTGTTCCTGCTAGCATTAGGGTGCGAATTTACGAAAAGACTGAATACCCTGTCCCTCACTCACCTGGAGTCATTCTGCTATAAATCATTTTCTGTCGGGGCATTTGTTTTCTTTTTGTGGACCTTACGAAATCAATAAAACTACCGCACTTTACTAACACCTGTTGCTTGCGAGACAGTTCTATCGGAAACAAAAACAACATGTACCGCCGGTGGAAATGGATAGACAGGGTGGAAATTTGTACCCATGCTTTGCATGATTGGGATCTATTTACCCTGAAAACAAAAATATCCTTTCAGGCAGATTATTCATTTATTCAGCAAAACACTCATCAAGAAAGGCACGTTTACGAAATGTTGGATCGACTGTAAGCCACTTTTTCGCCGAATTCAAGCACCAAAAGTAAACACAGAAACAGTCGATAAATCTATAAGGCATAACATTATCTTTTGACTTGCGCAAATAGAGCAAGCAAAAGCCAGGTGCAAATGGCAATCTATCAGGAGAAGCAGTGCAAAATGGCCACATCCAGCTATCAATATTGAGAGTGCAGTGGGAGGTTTCATCATTGGCATCAGATTTTGGGGTGTAAGCAATGTGCCCTATTCGTCCGTGAAGCCCGTGCAAACAAAGATCGGAGTGGGGTGGATGAGCGAGCGGGCGGGCGGTCCGTCGGTCGGTCGGTCGGTGAGTGAGGGAACAGATAAATACGGTTGTTTTCACAACCAAGATTATTTATATTGTGATTTACACGGATTTTCTTGTGTACGTCCATGACCGGGTTTGCTTTTATGACTGAAGGTGCACACTAGAATATTTGCTTCTACGTGTTTGTGTGTATGCGTTTCCCGCAGTTTGATTGTGCCCTGGTTTGAAGAGCTCACCTCCCGAACACAGCTCTGTTTGTCCAAAATTGTGCCAAGCGCGAAGAAACAAAGCAGGTGATCAGGTTGATATATCGGTGTGCACTGGGGTTACTCGATAAATTAGCGGTGTATGTGTAAATTTTAGTTAGTTTCATCAATGAATGAATGGCGATTATAATTTCCGAATAAAGGGAATCAACTCGATTAATTGTCGGACCAATCGAAAGTATCAGCGGGTTGCCCATTTGGCACACTATGATCACCAGGCAGACAAACAGTTCATTTGCATATGCTAAGCCGAATTCATGCATAACATATTTCAAAGAAAGTAAACTTAAAGGCAACCCATTATCCCTTTTTACTCCTTAGTGCAATCTACCTGAAGCCAATGGGTTTAAAATGTTCAGTTTGTCCCGTTACCCCAAGAACGGCTGAATACACAATGTTTCTTTCTAAACTTTTGGTCGTTGAAAGTGAAACTTTGAAAAGCGATTCATGTGAAGTGGATTGGCCTATGAGCACACAAAGCAGGGATCACTAAATGATGTATATAACGTGTAAGAAATGCAACCCACTTGCTCAAATGTTACCGCGTTTTTGTTTACACCAATGGGGGTGTGTAATATTCGGTAGATCACCCAGAGCAATTTACCCAAAAAAAACGAAATGATACCAGACTAAATACTAAAATCTTTCAACATGGTTGGGTCACCATCCCTTCTATTTAGTTCGTAGTTTTCGTTCTAAACGGGTTAGAAGTAGCATTTTTACCACAAAGAAGCAATCAAAATCTGAATACATAATCCCGCTTTTACTCCACAAAGCACTCCGTAAGATTACTCGATCTGCGATGGCCATCACCTCATACAAGACATTCATCCTACCATCCACACTGGTGATCCAAGCTATTGTGCATGTGAGCAACATCCCTTTTTGTGGACTGAAATTCGATTCTATTTCGTTCTCGATCTGTAATAAGGGTTCTCCTACCGAACATTATAATATACGTTGTGATTTATTAGCCAAAAATGAGCATGTTCATTGCTATTTACAATGTGTGATAATGGTTTATTCAGGCAGTGTGATCTCACCAGTTCACTGAAGACGCATGTCAAAGATCTCTAATCAGCATTAGGTAAATTAATAATAAAAGTGGTAATTTATCAATCAATAACACTTTGGTCGAACCACAAAAAGCTAACGACGGTCACCGTGTTACTGAAAGAGAGATGTATTTTCTGAAATTCCCAGACCGTGATGATGGCATTCATATTGTATCGATTAAGGGATCTGTCATTCTAAGTATTGAGAATAAAAATGCTCAGCATCATCTGTTCAGATCTGAACGGTACATTAGAAAGTGCTGTGTGCACGGATATTTCCCATCGAACACTTTGCTTGCATCAATTCACATACATAGATCTCTATACATATAGACACATCCATTCCAAGGGACAATACTTTGCTCTCCTACTCTCTGTGGCATCATTCATTTAACCCGCAACCCTCCATAGTAAACAGGCAAAGCCCATTTGGTACTTGATGAGACAAACAGGCCGGAATCCACGAAACAAAGCATGCCCCGGAAACGGCACTTGCGTTAGTTCAGATTGATTCTTCAAAAAATCACCCGATTGCGTGATTCTGAATACAGTTTGAATTTCATCTCAAATGGTACTGCAGTTGAAATTCAAATTCAAATTTTTGTTATGGGAAAAACTTACAAACACTTTCCTTATCAAATCCTATAGGGTGTTTGCACTTTTGGTTCGAAACACGATACACAGGATCACAGTTAGTCCATATAAGTAAAATAGAAATGTAATCTCTTGACGAGCACAGGCGAACGTAGTATGAAGTTTGGTATTGAAACACTGTTTGAGCATCATCAAGGTGACACTTGAAAGATAATAATGTTGGGGCACAGACCACGTGAGGTAGTACAGAATTTCATATGGTAGATTATTGGAACGTTCACCTGAGTTGGTGTTCTTATCCCCAAAAATGTCCAATGCTGTTTGATTGAGCGTCCCATCAATCGTTCTGATACAATGTTCAATAATAGGAACAAAATGGAAATATAAGATATTCTTTTCCACCTCTTGCTTCAGGCCCTTACATATGATGCTTTATGTGTTCAAAGATTACTGAATAGCCTAAGATCAGGTTTACGGAGTGGACCTGTGTGTGTGTGTGTGTGTGTGTGTGTGTGTGTGTGCGGGGGGTGGGGGGTGGTGAGTATATGTGTGTGTGACTTTTAGGTGGTAAACTGTGGCACTGAAAAAATCGGCTAAAGCACGCTGATTACCCAATCTTCATTCACTATTGTTGTTTTAATGGGAATCGCGGGCTATCTTAAAAACCTTCCTTACAGTATACGGCCAACCCGGTGTGGATTATTGTGAAATTCTCCATTAGAAAACTACGGAGAGCAACGTATTTTGGGTATACTCGCCTTAAATAACAACATGAAACTCCTATAAATCGTTTCTTCTCAGAGCTTGTTTAACGGCATATCAAGTTGCATTAATAAAAGAGCAATATTTGGCGAACTTACTCACGATACCAAATATAATCATACTGAGCAAGAACACAGTGGCAATCCATGAGGTAATTTTACTTCCCGAACAGGCGTATCGTGGAAAATCCGGTTCGGTCCATTCATCTTTCACACAAAGAAATTCCGGGTGAACTGTGCTCGTCTCAGGTACTAGTACAGTACTGATAATATCCACAATTTGTGTGGACAGTTCCTCTCTGTCCAGGGTTGCATTTTCACTGACCATAAGCAATGTTTCGTTGATCGATTCGGTCACAGTTGGTTCGTGAGCAAAAAAGAAATCGAACCATCCACCTTGGGATTGTTTCGATGGGTAGTCCATTTCAGTGGTGGGGGCCAAGCTGGTAGCAGCAGTAACCATATCTTCCACTAATCTCATTGTTGTCGATGAAATAGAAGGTCAGATGTCAAGGTCATTAACTGGAATGAGTCACATTTCAAAAATAAAGTTTATCTCCATTTCTCAAACAGTCACATTCAGTATGTAGTCGTGACTGTGCATACGCATCATGGGTAACCCTGATTGTTCTTAAATTGGTTAGAGAAAGTGCATCGAACCCGGTTATGTAGCCATGGCAACCCAGGGTGGATCAGATGGCACACATACGTGCAAGCGTGCAAATACCCGAGGTTCAATTTTACCTGCAGACGCTAAGAGTGCACTCCCATAACCTAGTCTGGATCTGACCAGATCCAGCAACAGGGAAGCGGTCAACTGTCGGAAGTCGTATGGACGCGTGCACAGCCGTGAGTGTTGGCTTGTGTGTCTGTGCGTTCGTGTGCGTGTGTGTGTGTATGTATATAGAAACACCTTTGGGGATTTGTCAGTGGTGGCACGCTCCCCAACTGTCCTGTCCGTATGTCGAGCGTCATTGAAATTCGCTTTCTCTCTCTGGCACACTCTCTCTGACACACATACAGGCTAGCTGTCTACGGACGGAGGTAAGGTTTTCGGGATCTAAAACAGGCTTGAGATCTAACCAAGTTTACTAGGGGGAATTTGGCACCGATTACCCGGGTTCTGAGCCTACCGGTGCGCGTAAATAAAACAGGATCAGGCCCCTGGGGTTTAATCACATTACCACCGCTGCTTTCACCAATTGGCATTCACATGTGTGCCACAAGACGCCGCTAGGCTTGCCAATTGTTTCTCACTTAGTTTTCACAGAGCAGACAAGGATCACATAATAATAGGGCAATCCTAAACGAACCCAATAAATCTGGAACCTGGATCAAAGCACAATTCTGCGCACGAGCAAACACAAACACGCTTGCCGCCCATGTGAGCGCTTTTGTGCAACTGGAAAGTAATTTTGTACAGAACGGTGTGGTTTCGGTCAGAAATTAGCACATTTTGTACGAGGGGTTCACAAATCCCCACAGATGGGGCGGATTTGACTCCTGTTTATCACATAGGGAAAGAGAGAGATAAGAAAGAGAAGGAGAATGCTCTGGGCGTAGCAACCACCATCATTGAATTCACATTTTGATCATTTATTGTGGAATTAAAAGAACTACTCGAACATGTCTTTGTAGTGCTCATAGGGCAAGACATTGCCTGCGAACGAAGCTATACACAGTTCATACTTCTTCGGATGCGAAAAAGTTGAGGTGCTGGATGTCGTAAAGTGTCAGCCGTGGTGTGAAATTTCTTTAATTGCACATTTGGTTTCCTTTACAAATGTAAACACTTGGAAGAAAAGTTAAATCTCAGGAAGATAAGGTGATTTTGATATTTCCAATGAGCCACAGACTAATGGTAAAAAATAGGAACTCTGCAAGACTCTTGAATCAGTCAAAAACTGAGTAGGGAAAATGGGACGCAAAGACCACATAATCAGTTGCAATCAACAACCGTAGGGTTAGGAATGATTAAATGGATGAGAAATTGGAAATGGTACTGCCCTCCGTCCGGGGGGAACCATCAAGAGCAAGCAGCATTTCTGCCGACCGATCAACTGCAATTTGCGAATAGAATCAAGTCGGGTGCTTCATATAAAGAGAATAATGCTTACTGTAACATCCAAATATCATCTTATTTAATTTAGGCTTACGTTGAAAATTCGTACCATTAAAAACAGGTTACGCTTGCTTAAGCACAAACAAAACTTGACAACTCGAACATTCCGGTCAACATCAACAAATGCCACCTTACTGGTTGCACAAATTCTGAGAGTAAGTGGTTCGACGGGGAGTGGAAGAGATGTGAAAACAGGAATGACATGCACTTGCTGTCAGAAGTACTTTCATCTCGCGTGCGCCAACCTAACGAACAAGCTGATTGAATCGATGACTGCACAAACGGGCTGTTTTCGGTTTTACACGGATTGCTTGAGATCTCATATAATGAAGTGAATAATAGACACTACAATCAAGTTAGAAAAATTACTTTTAGATGCTGATGAAAAGGCTAGCGCAAACGTTCCATCACCGGAAACATAGAATAGGAGCCTTCGGTCCATAGGTTCTTCCTGTAAACTCGATTCGGTGACCGACTAAACGTCTTGGGAAGTCCAAAACCAGCATCGCTCAAATGCACATCACACACCAAGTTTATAGGAGTATCCTGTGCGCAAAACTGCGAGGGACTTAAACACTGTTCCAGAAGCATAAAACATCATTTTACAACCAAAAGCTCTCATTCAAACTAAAAGACCGTTGGCAATAAAGAAAAAAGATATTAGCAACATTAACCTCACAGTCATTTGCACGAATCTGCCAAAACCAATGAACACAAGCATTAAGAGAGCCTGAAGCGGTCGAATTTACCAACCAAAATACGTTATCTATCCAGATGAGTATCAGAGTTCAACCAGTATAATTCAGGCATTCCGCACGTCAGCCATTGTCTGGGGAACGCGGACTGCTCCGGGTGACCTTGTAAAAGGAGGCGAACGTTAAATAAGTTATGTTTTCTTGTTACGTTGGAACTTATAGTCTGTTTGAAATAAGAATCATGCTTGACCCACCATGACCTGAGGTCATGTATCCTAGGCCTAATACACGGAGTACGCAAGAAACCTAAATGAGTTTATACTCTCTCACAGAGTCTCCTAGGTGAACGATACAACGGAATCCGAAAGTTATCACGGCATTAACAATGAGTGGCGTACCATACAAGATCTACTGGAACTTCACGGTGTTTTTGCCACGTCAATAAGTTGGATTTGTTGTTCACCAAAATACTATAGTATCGTGCCAAGGATAATAAAAGTCATTCTTAATACTCCGGATATGACAACCACTGTTTTGCAGTCAAGGAAGAGAAGAAGGCAGGACCGTCAAAACTGCACTGAAGATAAATGCTGAATCCCAGATCCAAAGCAGTCCAGACAGTATCAAAATACTCTCATTAAACCACCAAGGTATTAGAGCTTGCTCCTCAAGATAATAGTTCGCTGATAATGAAGGAGTCTTCAAATATATCACTCATTACCTTAGGGGTTTCCACACCGACAATAAGTGAACTGTTACTATGTCAATGCCCAAGGATTCCTCAGCATACTTTCCGAAATCCGGTTGCGTTTCAAATGGCATATGAAAAACGCAACTGGATACTTTCGCTGTTGCAAAACTTGGCTGTCATTTGCAATCATTTGTTCTGCACTGTCTTTACCAACTATGTATCTAATAAGATGCGATCGTCCTATAACTGCGGTGCTGTTTTACTTTATGTTTGAAACGGTCTTTGGTACAAGGTAACCAATCCTCCGGTTTAGGTTTTGAACACACCCTGGTGTACGTTGCGATTATCCATATACGGTGAATGTTTGATTGGTGTGGTCCATCGTTCTCTATAATCCATGGAGAAAGCCGATAAAACACCTTTGCAATCCGTGTCTCACATTCGTATACACAAAATTCAATAAACTGACGACCATCCCTAGATCATTCAAGCATCCGTTCAAACAGATTTTAACTTGCATCCATTGTGCAACTGCGTGAACCATGACACCAGCTTTAAAAATCTACGGTAATCAATGTTGGATTTAGAATTGACAAACAAAGAGCTGACGGTGAAACCCACTAATGTCACTTCTCCTAGGACACAGTAGCCATGCAATATTTTCGGCAAATACATTTGTTACGCTTCATTTCGCCTGTTCGTTGGGCTTGGTAATTTGACTGCAAACGCTTCATCACAAGCCCAGGTGGCATCTTCAATGCTTGTGTACTGGTATTGTTCTGTGGTACCCTTTTTCATGTGTGTTCTTCTCCATTGACTCATTTTTGTCCCTTATTCTCTTTGCGTTTGACCCGGTTCACCTTTGGACTGGTGCAAGCTACCAGATACCGATTCAACATGTTATATTTTTATTTAAAAAGTGCTTCTAACAGCATTCACGGATCCATAGATTGTACAAGGTTGCAAGACTAAGTGTTTTCTACTCATTGGGGTACCCATGACGAAAAAACCAATCCTTTAATCTCCTGGCGGAAATTTATCGACAGACTTATAAGTGTACTAACATAGTGACTAAAACTACAGTAATCAACAAACCTAAAATGGGAAACGTCAGCCATTCCAAGTCGCATGAGGAAATAGATATCCCTAAGGGAATCATCCTGGTGAGGTGATAAACGTCTTCCGGATGTCATCATTTGGAATAATTGTCGTAGACTGAGAAAACACTGCATCAGGCTGATTTGTTGGTGCACTAATAGTCGTTAGCACATAGATTAAGCTCTAATCCCGATCTGTACGTTAACCCAGTTTAGGAAGTTGAGTTTGGTATACCGGTACTAAGTGGCAGTGGGAAAAATGCTGCTGCTACGAAGGAAGCCGCTGGAATGCTAAAAACTCGGTAATCCAAAGCTTCTGCTGCATCAAATGTTGACAATCCACAAATCCCTGGCAGGTTCCCACGTCTCTCGTATCCTTTGCTGACCAACGCAGCATTTACTGTAGAAAACGTCAAAGCGAAATTAGCTGCTTCGCGAATCACATATCCGAACTACTGGCCATTCTATTCTAACGATCGTTGGACATAATTACACTACCAAAATCGGGGAAAAAGGAGTTAGTTCACCCATATACAAAGGTGGTTGTCGAAGTGACCCCACTAACTACAGGCCTGTAATCCATCTGTGCGGTGTTATCGAATGTCATGGAGTCAATTGTGGCTGATTCTCTGATGGAACACTTAGAAAGATACAACATTCGACAGCTAAACATGGGTCTAAGCAAAAGCGATCCTGCTCCACTAAATTCCTTTTTTTTCGAGGTGTGATTTATCTCGACTTCTCGAAAGCATTTGATCGGGTAAATCATCATATGTATTATAGAAGATCTACATTTATGACATTCGAGGTCTGTTGCTTTGCGCATTCCTCCGACAACGGACCACACCAGTTCGAATTTGTGATTCCTGATCCGGT